GCTGAATCGGGATTTACAGTGGCCAGATCTTGCATTACAAGTGACAGAAAATATGATGGAAAATATGGCGGAGAACGAAGAACCAAAGAACTTCCAAGAAGCATGGAATCACCCAGACGAATATTAATGCAGGAAATGGCGAGAAGCGATTGTTGAAGAGTTTCATGATATGATACGATGTGCGGCGTTTAGCGCAAAATGAAACAATGAGATTTACCAACTGGAAGAAGATGCATCAAAAGCAAACGGGTATTAAAGATAAAATTAAATGGGGCGTTCCGAGCAAGACTGGTTGCATGAAGATACCCACAGATACCTGGAGTCGATTCCACGGAACGTTTTGCTCCAGTTATCGAAAGCAAAACGGACGTCGTCAAAGAGCAGATGGTGCGAAAAACAACTGATGAATCCACGATCCTTGATACAAAAACAGGAGACATCAGTTGGGGGAAGGATGAGATGACGCCACAATTGATGTTTGAATGAGATGACGCCACAATTGATGTTTGATCTTGACTTGGAAGACACAGAATCCAAATGTTTGAATGAGATGACGCCACAATCGATGTTTGATCTTGACTTGGAAGACACAGAATCCAAATGCAGCTTCAACAAGTTGATCGAGGCTGAGGACGTTGATTGCGGCATGTTCCAGGGTCGATGATGGCATGACTGCTCCAGGGGACTACGGAAGCTGACGACATAAACACACAAAATTACGTCAACATGGAGATTGGTTTAAGAAGAGGCCAGGCAGACTATGCGATAGGAAAGGGCATCCAAGCGAACCTGCTTTTGACCTTGGTCTAAAAACGCGTGCGATTCCTTGGGAAAGTCAAATCGAACTACTAGGAACTTACACACAAGTATGGGATACGTATCCCAAAATTGATCAAAGAAGCCATCAAAATTGACAAAGAGAATTGGGACACATTATGGCAGGACGCGACTCAAATGGAAATGAAGAACAATACTAGTAATGATAGCAACACTAAACGGAGTGGACTTGCAATGTGCAGATATCCAGAACGCTTTCCTCACTGCACCAGCAATTGAGAGGTACTACATGGTAGCAGGATCTGAGTTTGGGGACAAAGAAGGAAAAGTCTTCATTATAAGAAGGGCATCGTGCCAATCCTGACGTTGGGGGGGGAATGTTACAAATATATCCTTTGTTACGTCGATGACATCATCTGTATGTTGATGAAAGCCAAGGAAGTGGTGGAAGGAATTGGAAGGGCGTTCAAATTCAAGAAAGAGAAGATTGAACCACCAGAGAGCTACCTAGAAGCCAGGTTTCGAAAAATGACTTTGGACAGATTCGGTATGTGGAAGATGCCTAGTATGACTATGTCGTGGCAGCCGTCAAGAATGTTAAAGAAACGTTGAAAGACAACGCAAATTGGAAGCTACCAAAGAATACACTGACGCCAATGACCAGTGTTCACGAACCGGAGATGGACGGATTAAGTCAATGACCAGTGCTTACAAACCAGAGATGGACAGATCAAGTGAATTAGGACAAAATGATCATACCTACTTCCAAGAGTTGATTGGGATGTTTTGATGGACAACGGAGATTGGATAAGTTGACATCTTATTGGAAGTATCACTTTTGAGCCAATATCAAACAGCCCCAAGAGAAGGGCACATGGAGCAATGAACGACTGAAGTATCCAACATCCTTGATACAAAAAGAGGAGCAAGCATTGAGGATATGTACCATGATTTGAGGGTGCCGAACTTAGATCACTACAAATTAGGATCTTCACAAGAGGATTTCTAAGCATGCTATCGAGACGCAAAAGAGGAAATGTTACACACTGATCCAAAAACGAGAGGACAAAGAGTAGGGAGTACTGTATGGGTGAATGCTTTGCATGTTGCCAACAAGAAGACGCGAAAGTTGCATATGGGGTATGTGATTTCCTTCAATTGAGCGCCCATTTTATGGAAGAAGGGGACGACTATATGGAGAGTGGACATACTAATCACAGTGTCGAACTGGATCCCATTGTTGGAACCCAATTTGAGGGGACCAAATAAAGGTGACCGTGCTATTGAATATGAGATCGACCATGCTGTCGTGCACGTGTACGATTGCTAGAGTCTGTAAGTAGTAAGGACAAATCGGCCTCCAGGGAAGCACGTCAATCTGACGATGGTAACACTCTTTTTAAGAATACCATTCGATCTACGTTACTATCTTTAACATCTACTACTTCGTAAGACAACAACATTGTAACGCAGTGACGATAATATTTATATGATATGGGTCTCTACCTTTTTTTCATTTTTTTTTCATTTTGTGGTGGGCTCGTCTCTTGATTGATCTGCGTTATGTTTTCTTTGGTGTAATGTTGGTGGTGGTGTTGGGCGCGCTGTGTTGGTGTTTTCTGATGATGATGGCTCTCTGTCCTGTCTCTTTCTCTTGTTGTTGTTGAATAGTACTTTGGGTGACGCTGCTTGATCTCTTCTGATGTGTTCCACTGGAAGCATTGTGGGTCGCTCCATGGTGAGTTCAAATTGCTGGTTGAAGAGGCTTGAAGTTACTGTTTTTCGATGAAAGTCTGGCGCCATCTTTGCCTTCAACATGAATGGTAATCCAAAGAGTGTGTTGATGGGTAGTTGCTCCGTCAATCCAATCATCAACGTGTGATTTTCTCCATCCTCGTTGGTGAAAGGGATGTAGTATTCAATGATTGCCTCAATGTTGACGCTGTCTTTCATTCCTCCAATCTTGATGGGGGCGTAGTGAATCTTTGGAAAGTCGTACACCTGTTTGACCAATTGGGGGTATTGTTTTGCGATGGTGAGGTGGTATGCTTTTTCTCCTATGTTGCAGCATCCTCCAGTGTCGTATATTCCTTTCAAGTTGGCCGTATCTCTGAGGTTGAGGCCGATTGGGAAGTGCATCACTGCTAGGACTTCGTTCACTGAGAAGTCCAATTTTCGCGCTTGTTCCATTGTTGCCAAGCTTCCGACCGTCATGAAAGTGAGTGGGGGATCCGTTCTCATTTGCTTCCTCTTGTGTTCGCTGATTTTGCCCATGTGCTCGGTGACTGTTTTGGCCAAGTTTACTAACAGTGTTCTTCGTTCATCTTCCCGCGTTTCTGGATGCTCAATCTTTTGAATTGTTTCATAAACTATGTGATTAATGTTACTGTTGTCCTTGTAACTTGCTATCTCGCTTATGTGTCGTCTCTGCTCTCTCTTTAGTCTGTAGTCCTCTAGGCTTTTTTTCAAACTGGCTGATAACTCCCGGATCTCCTTTGTGGGGGCATTCTCTGAAAGAGTGGCCTATCTTTTGGCATCCCCAACAATGGATCGAGGATGTTTTGTCACTTTCTTCTTCGATGTTGAGTGCTTCTTCGGCAGCACTCATGCATGCTAGCATTGTTAGGGCAGCTTGTGGGCAGTATAGTCTGCTGTCGGGTGTCGGGACCAACAATTGTCTTCCTTGTCCGTCAGTGCGGTGTGGAAGGTTCCAGCAGTCTCAATCGTTTGAGTTTGGAAGGAGCAATTGTCTTGGAATCCTTGGAATTCTTGTTGGTGGAATCCTGCAAAAGCTCTTCCTCCTGGACTTGGTGGTGTAGATAGTCCTGGAACGTAGCTTCTGTTTGGCCTGACTCGTCCCACGCTGTTTGCAATTCCCACAAGTTGCTTGATGCGCTTCTCTTCTTTCTCTGCTCGTTCGCGTAGGCGGTGCATTCGAGACAGGTTGCTGGGGTAGTCCATAAGTTCAGCCACAACGTCTTTGATTTCTTGTGCAAAGGCTTGGAACGCTACTCCTGCCAAGTCTGATAGGTTGGTTGGCGGGGGATTCTTGTGGTTGAACCCATTTAGGATCGTGGCAATTCTGCCAAATAAAGTAGCCACGCTCTTGTACCTCGTACATCATCGTGCCTCCTTTGTATCAGATCATGTTGAGTTTTGCCAGTTGTTGGTTTGGCGTCTCCATTCCTTGTTGTAGTCCGACGTAGGTGGCTGTGAGTGCTTGTTCGAGCGCTTGGAATTGGGTCTTTGCGATCTGTTGCTTGGACCACTTTTCGTAGACGTCGTTATCGGGCTCTCCGTCTCTGGTCGCAGCTCTCATCGAGAACTCTTCTCCTAGTGCTGCCATTGCTGCGATGATTTCCTTGTGATGTGCTTGGTCCATTACCATTTGGCGAGTGATGGATACGTCCATCTGGTTCTGGACTCTTGGCACTGGAACGTATACAGCTCTGTTGGAAGATGGTGGGAACTTTGTTGGGTCGATTCCAATGTCAGTTTGTAGGGAACACAGCCGTGGGACCAATCGGAGCTCGATTCGGAAGTAGGTGGCAGCGGCTCTAAATGGTGCTGGAAGTCCTGGTCCCGGTCCTGTAGCGATTGCTTGTCCCATGTTGTCGATGACGTGCAGACTTGTGAATTCGTACACGTCACTAGTCACGTCAAACAGTTTGCTGGTGGCGGCGTTGACTCGTGAGCGAACGTCTCGGCATACTGATGTGTAGCGTTTCATCAAGAAATCCACCTTGTGTTCCATTGTTGTCTTTGTCTGCTTGATGGAGTTCACAGACTGTTGTAGAATCGCTTGCTTGATTTCCGGAGACTCTGTGGTTGGAGCTAGGACGGCAGTATCGATGGTATACTGGTTGTAGGTGATGGTTTTGTCCACGTGGCTTCCGTTGACCCAATACGGTTTCTCGTTGATGCGATCGCTTCTTTTTTCATTTTTTTCATATTTGTGATGCAACGCGGCAGTCATCGCGGCGAACGCTGCATTCTCCACATTGACAGGACTTGCTGACATCATAGCGAACGCGTTGCGCTGGAAATGATCAGGGTTGAACTGTCCTCCCCATGTGTTGGCTGATCATGTGAACAAAGTTGGTGGCTCTGACTGCGAATCAAATGCATGGGGGCTTCGAATTTCGGGCTGGCTTCCACTTAACGTGACAACGTTGGGCTCCTGACTCTCATCGTAGAGAGAGCGTACTAGTGCATTGATGTAGCTACTGTTGGGCATGATAGACGGTGATTGATATTGCTATTGGGGTGTGTTCACGGGGGTCTGAAGCAGCTGTGAGTAGATGATAGATGATTGATCTTGGGCTTGAGATTGGCGACGACCATTGGCCTTCGATCGCTCTAATATATGTCCAGTCAGTCACGTTACGAAGGTAGGAGGCAAACAGCGACTCTCTACCCCAGATGGCTGGGTCATTCCTATGGAGATTGTGAATGGACTTCCATACATCCGTATGAGACCACCGACAAAATGTGAACTTGAGACGCTACCACACATTGTCTTAACTTCAGACAAGGATTGGGATCCCAGCGTACTGGATTCCAAGCTGGAAGACTTCGAGAAATGGGCCAAATCCATCCCTGATGAAGGATCTGAAGAAGGAGAGGGACCTTTTGATCAAGTAGGTATCCTTAAGAGACGGTTTTCCACAAAAAAAGTCACATTTTGGGGACACGCACACCAAAAGTCACAATGGTGATAGTGTCCATAACAATGTAACAACATCTACATTTTTGAATGGAAAAGGTTGATCTAGCTTCTATGCAATGGCAGCAACCTACTGAAACCATAATTTTTCAAGAAAAACTAAATAATAATAAAAATTAAGCCACTTTCTAAACTGTGACTTTTTGTTTCAAAATTTTCACTTCTAGTCATTCTCAGAGGCTGCAAGTTCCTGGATTCGGGCAAACTCTTCCTCTTCTCTTACAGCTCGAGCCTCTGCACGCAGGTTGTTTCCCCAAGACGCTGCAATACTTACAGTGAACATCTCGATGCGATCTGAAACTTCAGACATCATGGAATCAATGCGAGATTTGTCCAAATTCAACCCAATCAACTTTGCTCTCTTTGCCGCCACTCCATTCAAGCTTGATACAGAAATATCAAGCAGATAGAGAATGCTGCTGATAATTTCGCCCTTAGCTTTCTTGTAAGTCTCCCAGTAATTATTAGGATTCAATTGAGCAAACTTCATGAATTTCTCAAGATGAGTTTCAAGCGACTTTTTCCTAGCTTCACCACTTGGCTTCTTCCTCTTCTCTCGTTTGCTCACTTCTTGGCTTTGCCACGAAGCAATCTGCTCCTCGCTCAGAAGACCTCCATTTGATTGTAAGTGAGCCTTGGCTGAGCAAAATTTGAGCCCATTGTCCACAGGATCGATCGCCTGCATCATCTTCTGCCTTGTCTGACTTGGATTCAGTTTTGTTTCAGAGCCAAAACATTTCAGCAGAAAACAAACCTGGGCATCTGTCTTGGAGTTTGGCTCATTCACATCAGATCGATTGAAACATTGGTAACATCGAGCAGCGGTCGCACATGGCGAGTCTGCATCAGCTGGACAAATTGGTTCAAACAGATCGTCAGAACGTCGATTGGGCCTGCTTCCAAGCTCGAAGGTGCCACCAACTTTCCCTGCGTTCATAAGCAGCCAATCTCTGGCGTTTATGCTGGGAAACTTGTGTTTTGTATGGCCCTTCAACCCATCCTCTGTCAAACACACCTTTCGACAATAACGTCCTGTGTCAGGACACTTTTCATCACACAGATAAAGCCCAGCATCCCTCTTTTCCTGTCGCCTAGCCTCGATTGCGCCTTGTTTTTTCTCGCATCTTCTCTTGGCCCTGTTTTGTTGATTCTTTGAGCGGGTGGCCTTCGAATTCGGCCCTTCTCCTGGCCTTGATAAGTGGGATTGCCTGTCTTGCTTAGAATGCTTGAGCTGAATTTCAGGTACTTCTCTGCAAGCTCAACGCATATCTGGTTCTCTCGATTTGGTGAGTACCCTACAAAAACAGTTGACGAGAGACCTTGCGAGGCTTCAACGGCTTTCAAAATAGTTTCCGAGTTGTAGTAACTATTTCCATTGTCAATGGCAGTCGACAAAATTGATGATGTCCTGCCAAACATTCCGTCCAAAATTGTCTTCCCATCTCCTGCGGGAGTGATTCGAAACACGATTTCGTCGATACCGGCCCAATATTTCCAAAATCTTTGAATTGCACGGTGCAGTCTCGACTTGAAACATCCAGCACCATCAGCAACAAATTTTGACTTCGTCACATGGGTTGGCATGTGATTCTTGTAAACGTAAGACTTGGCACAAGCTACCGCCCAATCGTCTTGACAGGCATCGTTTGTAAGTAACATCACGAATGTCACATCCTTCACTCCTTTCTCCTTCAACTCAACATCTTCAGGATTTGTGACAATCATGAATCCAAGCATTGATGTGCCTCGCTTCCCAAACCATTTCCTCTGATTCTCTCGAAAAAAGCAAGATACGATTTTCATCTTGTAATCGCAAGTCACGATGGCAGCATCGTCCGCCAAGTTATCCAATTCAGCCAACGCTTGCTCTTCTTCTGACGTGTGGCGCGCAAGATGGCCTCTGTACTCTTGAAGATCAGAGATACAGGTTTCCACGTCGCACTTTAGCTGATCAAGTTTCTGAAGCTCCATGGGGCTTGCGTTCGCTGCTTTAGCTGCGACTTCCTTGCGCTGGATCGCAGTCTTCAGTTCTTGGAACAAGCCAAAGCCATTGGCGCATCGCGTACAACTTGGTTCGTGACTGTGCTTCTGAGGGCATATAATGTCTCCAATGTCATCTGGTGTGGTAAATGAAAGGTGAGACGGGTTAGAGGTTCCACCACTGAACCATAAATGATCACTACATCAGTTGCTCACCTTTGTCACAGAATCCACACGTCAAACAGTTGCATTGGTTTTGGGAAACGCTTTTCAGGTGAGGAATGTAATCAGTTGTGTAAAAGGTTTCTTGTGCGTCGACCCTATCCTTATACTCTTCTGCTTCACTGCCTTGAAATGCAGCATTGACGATGCGTCGGGCTCGACTCCAGTTGTCCCGTCCTTTCAGCGTTTTCACATCATCCAAGCCTGCTAGCTTACATATTTCTTCGCCTGTGAGTTCCTGCATTAGCTTTCTAGCAGTGGAGTAAGAGATGCCATCCTTTCTTGTGAATCGACAATTGCCTTCATGACCTTCAAGCTTCATACACTGTCGATTCGCCCTGTCAGTTTTGGAGCAACAACAATCTACCTGGTGGTTCTCGACAATAATGTCCTGTGTCAGGACACTTTTCATCACACAGATAAAGCCCAGCATCCCTCTTTTCCTGTCGCCTAGCCTTGATTGCGCCTTGTTTTTTCTCGCATCTTCTCTTGGCCCTGTTTTGTTGATTCTTTGAGCGGGTGGCCTTCGAATTCGGCCCTTCTCCTGGCCTTGATAAGTGGGATTGCCTTTCTTGCTTAGAATGCTTGAGCTGAATTTCAGGTACTTCTCTGCAAGCTCAACGCATATCTGGTTCTCTCGATTTGGTGAGTACCCTACAAAAACAGTTGACGAGAGACCTTGCGAGGCTTCAACGGCTTTCAAAATAGTTTCCGAGTTGTAGTAACTATTTCCATTGTCAATGGCAGTCGACAAAATTGATGATGTCCTGCCAAACATTCCGTCCAAAATTGTCTTCCCATCTCCTGCGGGAGTGATTCGAAACACGATTTCGTCGATACCGGCCCAATATTTCCAAAATCTTTGAATTGCACGGTGCAGTCTCGACTTGAAACATCCAGCACCATCAGCAACAAATTTTGACTTCGTCACATGGGTTGGCATGTGATTCTTGTAAACGTAAGACTTGGCACAAGCTACCGCCCAATCGTCTTGACAGGCATCGTTTGTAAGTAACATCACGAATGTCACATCCTTCACTCCTTTCTCCTTCAACTCAACATCTTCAGGATTTGTGACAATCATGAATCCAAGCATTGATGTGCCTCGCTTCCCAAACCATTTCCTCTGATTCTCTCGAAAAAAGCAAGATACGATTTTCATCTTGTAATCGCAAGTCACGATGGCAGCATCGTCCGCCAAGTTATCCAATTCAGCCAACGCTTGCTCTTCTTCTGACGTGTGGCGCGCAAGATGGCCTCTGTACTCTTGAAGATCAGAGATACAGGTTTCCACGTCGCACTTTAGCTGATCAAGTTTCTGAAGCTCCATGGGGCTTGCGTTCGCTGCTTTAGCTGCGACTTCCTTGCGCTGGATCGCAGTCTTCAGTTCTTGGAACAAGCCAAAGCCATTGGCGCATCGCGTACAACTTGGTTCGTGACTGTGCTTCTGAGGGCATATAATGTCTCCAATGTCATCTGGTGTGGTAAATGAAAGGTGAGACGGGTTAGAGGTTCCACCACTGAACCATAAATGATCACTACATCAGTTGCTCACCTTTGTCACAGAATCCACACGTCAAACAGTTGCATTGGTTTTGGGAAACGCTTTTCAGGTGAGGAATGTAATCAGTTGTGTAAAAGGTTTCTTGTGCGTCGACCCTATCCTTATACTCTTCTGCTTCACTGCCTTGAAATGCAGCATTGACGATGCGTCGGGCTCGACTCCAGTTGTCCCGTCCTTTCAGCGTTTTCACATCATCCAAGCCTGCTAGCTTACATATTTCTTCGCCTGTGAGTTCCTGCATTAGCTTTCTAGCAGTGGAGTAAGAGATGCCATCCTTTCTTGTGAATCGACAATTGCCTTCATGACCTTCAGGCTTCATACACTGTCGATTCGCCCTGTCAGTTTTGGAGCAACAACAATCTACCTGGTGGTTCTCGGCAATCTCTGTGTTCCTTCCATTCAACTCTTCATCGACCTCCAAGATGTACCTAATAACGGCTTCTTCCAACTTCGAGCGCAAGGCCACATTGTCAAGTTCAATAAAGTCATTGCCTCCCAAAATTGCCTTGACTTTTAGCCCAAATGCATACCTTTGTGTATTTCCAGGTGAGTCGAGATATCTGAGCATTTGCAGTAACGCGGCCTTTTCAACTCTCATCCGATTGATTTTTTCCTTTACAACAGGCTTGTGGGGACCTGGCCACTTGGCATGAATCTTGATGTTTGTCCACTCGTCGGCAGTAATGTTGATTCCGATTGCTTCCTGAACATCTTGTTTTGTAAAGGCACCGTATGTCCCTTCGCAGCCCATGAGAGCCGATAGGTAAGGTCTTCGGGCACTTGGCTTTTCCTTTTTGAGCTTCTGGATAAGTTGCATTCCGATTTGTCCCAAAGCTTCTTTGATGGCGTTCACTCTTACAGCCCTTTTCTTTGCTGCTTTTTCGTCTTTTGATTGGGTTCGCTTCTTGTTGTTGGAGGCCCTGCTTGAGACGTTTTGAGAGACAGATCCAAAGTCTTGCAATCGTCTCACTTTGACTACGGTGCCATTTTCTGTCGTTTCTTGCGGGGTGGTATTAGGAGGCGTTACGGGAAGATCTGGATGTAGAGTAAGTGGACTCTCCTTTGGTTTCGGTGTTGATGTTTCATTCGAAGCTGCTCCTTCTTTAAGACGGCGTCGCTTCTTCCTTCTTTCATATTCTTCAATCTCGCGTAACTGTTTCTGACCTACCTCAGCATGCTTGTTGCAGACTGCCACGACATACTCGGCTTTTCGGCGTCTGTCGGGAGTTGATTCTGGAGTTTTTCCATATGCAATGTCCAGTGCAGCAATTGACGAATTTAATCCTGTTTTCAGATGTTTGGATTTTGAAGATTTGGATGTTCCATTTCTTGGAACAACCAGACTGTCTTGCCGAGTGAGTTCCTTGAGATAGCTTCTTCGGCGTTCCTCCCGTGATGTTTCTCCTCTAACTCTTTGAAAGAAATCCTTGGCTCGAGGCCGAGTTTGCTCTCTCAATCTGCTTCTCTTGCGAGCAGCATCAGGTCGATTGCACATCATTTGGTGTGCTCCTTTCGACGGAAAAGCTTCGTACCGATCCGTCCAGGTACGATTTCGCTTTTGGTGACGGTTCTCACTTGGATTGGATGGATCCTCCTTGGTCGCTTGCCGAAGGTGTGGGTGCAAAACGTGGCAGACACCTTTGTGTGCAATATTGTGACTGGCCAAGTGAAACTGAGTTTTCCCATCCAGCTTCTTACACGCTCGACACATATCTTCTCTCAAGATTTTCTGTCTTGGGAATTTCCACAAACAAGAGTTGGACTCGCATGGAGTATTCCTCCCCATGATGGTTGATGGTTTGAAAAGAAGGATTATCAAGAGGAACAATGATAATCTGATGATGTGTGTGTTGCAGCTGGCTAAGATTAGGGTGAACTATATCAATAACTATAAAAGATTAATTGTTGCTGTGATTGTTTTGAGACTTGTAGACGTTTCGAACACGTTTTGAATGCCATCATGCCGTTAGTGGTTGGAGTTTTCGTGAAAATGTGACCGCGGGAATACTGGTTTCATATTAATGATAACAACTATTTAAATCCCATCATTCGTACGAAAAAGAGGTAGGATATTCTACATACTTCAGGCTTGGTACATATTCTACGTGATAGAAATAACGGTTTCTCCCCCCCCATAATCAAAATAACTCCCCGCAAATTCCCCCTGAAACCGTCTGTCATTTTTGCAAGTGGTTTTCTCCAAAACGGTCTCTTAAGAGTAATAAAACTGTCACTACCCTCAAGGATGAATCTCTCTTAGACCAAGCTCTTGATTTCTTTGAATCATTTGACTATGTTGCACCAACTCACGGACTATACGAGGTTTACGAACGTCCAGATACTGATACGGATTGGTTTGGCTGTAATATGGCCGACCTATTCTGTCCAGATCCGTACTTTGACGACCCCCCAATTCTGACAGCGTTTGATGTCAATCAGTCAAGTAGGCGACCGAGTGTTCTATTTGCCCCTGAAGCTCCTATCGATTTTGACATTGAAACGGGGCCATTGCTTGCAAAAGATTCTTTTCAAGATCTTGCACCTGATTCGCCAACTAAACCAGCAAAACCAAAGGGTACAAGTACTATTAACGTACCTTCTGCACTGCAGCGCAATCCAAGACAGAAGACTCGTTATAGTACTGGTAATCGGAATGAAGAGAGAACTGATCATGGCCCTACACCGCAAACCGAGCAAAAACACGACCCTCTGCCGCCAACTGCTACGGAGTATAAGAATCCAAGCTCTGCAGTGAAGTCTTGTGGACGCGATTGGGAGCGACTGTGACAATACTTTGTGTGGTTGCCTAAGCTAGTAATTCAGAAAACTTTTGATTGTACTACTCAGCTGGGATATCCCGCAGTTTTCTGTGAAGCCAGCTCTCTCTTTTTTTTGGAGAGTCGATGTGGTCATTTTCACCCTCTTCTGCACAAAACTCCAAAAATCGACTTTCACTTATTGCCTGCCACAAAGAAACTTCTACGACAAGGAATTTTATAAATGTTCACAATGCCGTTAAGTATTCAACTTCATTCGCCAGATTAAATTTTAAAGTTTGTTCTATTTTTACAGCAATTGCGGAACATCTGTAATGACCCCAAAAAAACCTGTAAATTTTTCACAGAAGTTTCGGAACATCTGTGAAAAATTCACAGA